CAACAAAGACCAAAAGCACAATGGGACTGAACCAAGAACGTGTTGGTGATGAGAGCAAGGCACGTATAGAACCAGGACGGAGCAAATGCCACAGGGCAGAAGCTGCCAGTGGAAGTCACGATTCCTACAGAAACTACTGGGGGACAAATGTGGCTCCAGTGTTGGGGGTGACAGTTCCCTTTGGGCTGTCTCTTTCTTTTCAGGTGGGACCCAAAGTCCCTCAGTGGGAGGAGGCAAACAGGAGGGCTGACTGGAGTGAGAAGAGTGTTTAACGCTCAAGGCAAGGATAGATTTTCCTCCTCATTCCTCTCCCAGGTGGGGACCTCACAGGTCAGAGTCCAGACTTATTAGCAGAAATAAAGAAAACAAAGCCACCTCAGCTATTCTTTCCTTTCCACAGAGTCCTTAACCATTTCCCCGCCTCTTTACAAACTGAGTGATCAAGATAACACCAAGAAACTCAAGAGAGAGTTGGGCTGAACATGCCAACACAATTCAACTGTGCCCCTACATGAAGCATGTTTCAATCGTCCTAGTGATCTTGGCTTGCCTAGTCCCTAGACACAATGTCTGGCCCATGGCTGCTGCTCAGAAAATACTGTTGGACTAATTAATTAATTAATTCCCTGTCAGTTACATAGGGAGGCCCAGGAGTTGCCCAGGAAAATGCTGAAAATCTGTTCAATGGGACAAGAAGGAAATAGTAGATATCAAGGCACATCCTTTAAGCCAGTGATTGCTGTGACGCAGCATCACAAGGCCTGATTTTGAGGTTGGTCTGGACTGTGCTGGGAACTAGCTGTGCCCTTGGGCCCTGATTTCCTTCTCTGAAAAATGGAGACACTGAGTTTGATATGCTCCCTGGCCCTGTCCAGCTCTGCATTTCTTTGCATGGTGGCATACAACCGTTCTTTGTTTTACCCAAAGCAAGTGCAATTTTTCTTCCTAAGAGTGCATGAGATATATTTGTACTTTGTTTTGTGTAGGGAATAAGGGAGTTAGCTCACCCTTCCCTCCCCTCACCCCATCAAAGGTAAGTTTGGGAGTGTCCCCTTCTGGCTGGGGCCAGCGTTAGTGACCTGTAATTAGGTTGTGAAACTGCCCGCGATAATGCAATGCCAGCCTCTGCCTGAGACCCTGAGAGCAGAGGGTGTGTTCCCTAACCCCAGAGCAAAGCTGGAAACCTGCCTGGGTGTTGCATTTCGGGTGCGTAAGAATGGGGGGCTCTGAGAATGGTACGTACTCATAGAATTGCAAGCAAGAAATTTAAAAAACAAACAAAAAAAAAGAAAGGGCCAAGGAAAGAGGCACCTGCAGGTAGGTTAGCAAAGAAATAAGTACCAGGCACAAGGCGTAGATGACACAGTGGGGCATATGATAGATGTGGCATTTATAGGGGGGAAGGGGAGCCTCAAAAACTGAAAATAAAGATTAAACAAATAACTCTGATTTAAAGGTGTGAAATTCTGCAAAAGAAAAGTCTCGGTGCAAGGTACACAGCAGGTGCGGGGTCGGAGGAGGGCTCTGATGGAGCGAGCATAGGCCTGGTGGATGGGTAGCAGGTAGCCAGGCAAGGAGACCAGCGGCAGGAGAGGCCCTAGCTCAGTGGAGCTGGACAGCCATGGTCTCCAGGACCCCCGAGATTGTGCCAGAGCCCCCACTAGTGCTTTTACAGAATGAGTTTCTCTCCCCAGTCCTTAGCTGGTGCTCTAAATTGAGCAGGACTCAGTTCCCCAAACTCACACAGATGTTTGAACTCTTACGTCAATGGTGGATGGATTAAGAGTGCAGGTTTGATCTAATACTGCCCTGTGAGTGGTCACCCTGCAGGGAGTCTTTATCTCACTGGGGCTTGCCCTCAGAATGTAGTTCCCCTGGGAGGGTTGGCTACTGAAGTCGAGTTTGACCTGGCTTCTCTCTCTGCTTCCAGGTTCACCACGAGACCCGTCCTCTGCACCTGCTCCTCCTGCTGGCTTCCACCAGACCCCAGACAGATGGGGCCTCCTGACCCTGAACTCTGAGTCTTCAAGCTGTAAGCCTGCTTCTGGCTTTTGCTTTTCCTTCCCCAGAAACTCGTCTCAGTTATTTTAGCTAAGGGAATGAAAGGCTGGCTAATATGGCTAGGGTACAATTACACCTTGTGTTGTGATTGCTAGATGAATGGCTGCCTTTCGCAGCAACTATGAGCTACAGGGGGGCCTGTGGGCCCTGCTTTGGGTCACCTCTGAGTCCTCAGCACCTGATCCGGGACTGGGACACAGAACATTTCCAATAGCCATTTGCTGATGAATAACAGGTGTGAGAAATCTTGTCATTAGAGAAAAACATAGAAGTAGTAATAGCTACCTGCTCTGGCCCTGTGAAGAGTTTTTAACATACTGCCTGCTGCAAAGGGTTTACTGTAAATGCCAGTTATTCTTTAAAATACCCATAAGCTTTCCTTCCGATGCTGGGCTGATCAACACCCTCACAAGGATGAGAGAAGGAAAGTGACTTGCCCACGGTCATACCTCCAGAACCCTTGGCCAGAGCTCCGTGCTAAGACCCAGCTGCCTCCTGCTCAAAGGTGTTCAGTACGAGGAGGGCCAGCTTCCTTCTTCCATTCCACCTCCCAGCATCTCACATATCACAGGCTCCTCTTACCAGACTCTGAGAATCTCCTACCCCATCTCAGTTTTCCTTCCGGACCAAGTGGACAACGATTTACTTACAACTTGAAAATCAACTCAGTGTATTACTTGAAAAGTTCAATGGACAGGATTCTATCACCTTTTCTGAAATAATGGAGACCGAAAACAAACACGAAGATGAAAACACAAGCAACTTGACTAAATCCAGATATTGATGTGGGAGGGAGGATCTGAGCCTGAGGCCAGTGTTAGAACAGAAACAATACTCAAGGAACTTCTTTTTGCAAAGGAGAAGGCTTCTAGAGGGAGGGGGGAGGGACAGGAGGAAACGCAGCTACCTAGAAGGGTAAATATAAAAAACGCGGACTGTTAAAAGCAAGAATAATAGCATATCACATATGAGGGTACTTCAAAAGTTCTTGGGAAAACATAATTAAAAGAAGTTTTTTGGTGCCAAAAAATGGAAATCTATGCCTCCTTTTTAATAATATACATTTGATGAACTTTTTGAAGACCCCATGTAGGCATGGATTTCAAGTATTTTTTTTTTTACACCAAAACAGACTTATCTTTTAACTCCATTTTCCATGGACCTCTTGAAACACTCTTGTGTATAGACATAAAATGTGAGAGCGAGAGAAAAAAAAAAAAACACAGGAAGGTAAATGGATTTACATTATTGGAAGGGTCTTGAATTGCCCAGGATTCAGTAATAGTACGTATTGACAGTTGATTGCAGTAAGTTAAGGATCACTTCGTAATTTCTAGAGTAACCGCTAAACAAATGATACTACAAAGCCCAACAGAAAAGGTAATACAGGAGCTGAAGTGGGAGAAGGAAAGAGGAGGTTGGCAAAGGGATGCTAACAAGGACAAAAAGATGCCAGTACACACCCCAGACTTTAGTAGATCTAAAGGACACTTGCATAGAAAATATAAGCTTTGTGCTTTGGATCCCATAGTTTTAATGCTGCCATCATGACCCACCTGGAGTTTTCTCCCTCCAACCCTCAAGAAGTGAGTACTATGCTTTTTTTTTTAAGATTTATTTTTATTTATTTGAAAGGTAGAGTGACACAGAGAGAGGGAAAGACAGAAAGAGAGACATCTTCCATCAGTTGATGCATTCCTGAAATGGCCAGGACTGGGCCAGGCCAGATCCGGGAGCTTAGAGCTCCATCTAGGACTCCCATGTGGGTGCAAGGGCCCAAGTGTTGGGCCATCTTGTGCTGCTTCCCCAGATGCATTAGCAGGCAACTGGATCAGAAGTGGAGCATGGGTAAACGCCTTTGCTAACATCAAACACCAGAGACAGCATGGTGGGACTGGAGTAATGCAATACAAAGGTGCTGTTTGGACGGGGCACATCCACAAGCCCTGCAGTGGACAAATAGGTGACCTCCCTAACTGTAGAGGCCCCTGTGGTCAACCTTATACCTCAAGCAGCTTCACAGGGAGGCTGAGTCACGTTGCCTGTCTCTGCATTATTTGGTTGTATAGGACACAACCTGGTGTGTTGCTCAGTTTCCTTGGCCTCTGTGTATCGTAACTCCTGGGACTCACCTGTGAATTGCCACCGGGTACGGCTGTCACCTCACCTCCTCCTTGGCCACAGCATCGTGCTTCCTCCGCAGTAGCACCAAGCCTCGGGGCTGCTGCCCTCCTGTCTCCTGCTGACAGCCGGAGCTCTGCAGAGGCTCAGCGGCAAGCAAGCAGAGCTCCCCGGAGGCCTGCTGCTCCCTGGCAGGCAGCCCCAGGGAATCCCGACAAGCAGAGAATTCTGTCAGGGACCACATCTCCTCCGCACCCCAGGCTTCTCCCACGTGACAGTGGCATGTGCAGGGCAGGGAGCTGGGCAGCCATGGGCCAGGTCAGGCAAGAAGAGAGGAAGGGCTCACCCTCCCCTGGGATTGCCCGTCTCCCCAGCCTCAAGGCCTGCACAGAATCTTCCCATTGCTTCTCCTCCCAGTTTTTCAAAGGCATCAGCTTCCAGAGGTGCAGCCTGCAAACCCCAGAGGACCCCTATGCACATCCGTGCTGAGGCAGGGTCTCGTTTGTCACTCAAATGAGTTGATGCAAAAGCTGTTGCTGGGTTTGTGATAAGTTTCCTCTCAATGGGGGTCTCATCCACAGCTGGTTCCAGTCACCACAGCACTGACTGTTCTGCATCCAACCCTCCACCAAGCCTGGGCACCTTTACCACCTTGATTTCACTTGCATCTCTTCCCACCTCTCTGTCCCCTCTGCCCTGTGTTGGTCTTAAGAGGATGTCTCTTACTTGAATAATTGGGGAGGCCCCAACGGCTTTGTTACAGCTGTGGTTTGAACATGATTTGGGCCCTGAACTCATCTGGTTTAGTCCCACTGTCTTACATTAATGTACTAAGAGGGTAGAAACTCAGTCTGATTATGGTGTTCAAAGGTTGGGCCCTTGGCGAGTGATTAGGTTGAATTGGATCACTAGGGTGGGGTCCCTGGGATTGACTCTTGATGGTTTTATAAGGAAAGATAGAGACAGATACATGTGCTGCCAGTCTCCTGCTATGGGCTACCCTGTGCCATCTTGGGAGTCTGCCAGCTGGAAGACCATCACCAGAACTGTTGAACTTGGACTTGAGCCTCTAGAACCATGACCCCAAACAAACCTCTTTTCTTTATAAAGTTAGGCTGCCTCAGGTATTTTGCTATAGTCATGAAAAGCTCACTAATGTACTCACCTCTGGCCTCAGGACTACATGGCCCTCTACAGACACCTGTGGGTGTGCGACATTTTCCCTTGTGATTCCTCAGAGCCATAGTTCTGCTCACCCTCTGCTTAACAGTCTTGGAAGTCTTGCCCTAGCCTCCAGAAAATTCCAAATTTTTTTAGTGCTGGATAGAAGGTCCTACTAGAAACCAACCTCTTTTTGCCTTTGGCTAGCCAAACCACAAGAGAGGTGATAATCAGAGGAGTTGGCAGAAAAGGGAGCAAAACCTCTCTGCCATGGCTTTGCTCATCTTAAAGTCAGGCCAGGGATGCTGGTCAGAGGTGAAGTCCTGGCTCCTGACTCTGCAAGGTCACAGCTTCTGTTGCTAGCCCAAATCTCCAGTTCATACCCACAGTGCCCCTAGGAGAGCACCTCTTAGGATCCTAGCCTCCGGTCAGGCTGATGACCCTCTCCTCCAGTGACATCTGAGTAACAAGGTGATGCTTGGTGTTCCCTCAGCTACTATGGTACATGCCAGGTACTGTGCCAAGCCCTTCCTCATTCATTCTTCACAGCACCCCTACAAGGCAGCACAATTGTTATCTGCATTTTGTGGATGACCAAACTGAGACCCAGAGGTCAAGCAGCTTCTAGGTCCCACAGATGGAAGATGACGGAGCTGGGGTTTATCATCACAGGCACACCCTAAACCATGGGCCAGCCCGTCTCCCGGGTTCAGGCAGGGAACTGGAAGGGAGGGGGCCCTTCACGGCACATCACTGATGCTTCTGGGTGAACTCGGCTCGCGTTAGCAGCTGCTGACTTGACATCCCTTTTGAAAAGACACCTTCGCCCTCTTGGAGGAGTTGTGCATCCCATTTGCTAGAAAGGATTGAGAAGTGTCTTGGGGATGTGTTGCTGCTCAGCCTGCTGCTCCTGGGAGAATCCTGGAAGTTTTGGTCACATTTGGGAAGGAAAGGAGAGGGAAAGCTCAACCGGTCACCTTGATCTCCGAGGCTGTAGCAGGGAATCTCGAAGGTGACCTCCCACATGCCCAGAGAGGAATGGGTTTGGTGGCAAACTGACACCAATGCAACAGCACCCCTAGGGACTGGAGGGGCTGTTCTGACATCACAAAGACAGCAGCTGAGTTACATGTGCCCTGTGCCTCCCCTCCAGGATGGAGAAAGCCTCATCACCTCCAGTGGAAGAGAGCAAGCGAGATCAATGCCAAAGGTGGTGTGCAGGTAGGGTCTCAGCAAGAGCTGGGTAAGGCAGGTGATGGAGGTGAAGACCCGCCCCTGGGAACAGAGCGATTTCTCAGACTGACTGAATCTCTGAGCAGTGAATCTCTCCAGCTGCCCAGCTGCCCCGGCAGCCATCCTTCATCTCTTTGGTTTGCATTTGAAGGTCAACAGATAGCCAGGACCTACGGGCAAGGAGGCACTGCTTTCTTCCAGGTGGCAGAGTCCACGCTGTGTGATCGTCCCCTTCCTACACCCAAAGATGGGAGCTGTCAGGGCGAGCCTGGCTGGGGCCGGGGGGAGGGGGGTTCCTGTTGCAAGTATTCAGGAGAATGCCTCTCCCATAAGATTTATGGGCTTCATTTTACATTTTAATGGTTTCTGTCACAATCCCAAGAGGCTTCCGTGACTGATGGGAAGCCAGGGAAGAGACAGGTACTCCAGGTAGAAGCAGCGACACTGATGAAGATGGGGCAGAAGCGAACAAACATTTGTTCTGCAAATGTTTTCTGTACCACACATCTTTGCTCCCCAGATAGAAGAGTTGAGGACACATTTCTCTTTGCAACATCCTTAAGGCTGGGCATACCTGATCCCTATAACCCGGAGGGGTGTTGTGCTATCTGCCCTCTAAGGGAAGGGAGACCTAACATTCTGGGGGTCAGAGAGTGGCATCTTGAAGGGGTCCCTGGGGTGGGTGTTGGGCACACTGGTGAAGACACTGTGTGGCATGCCCACTTCCCATTTTGGGGTGCCTGAGTTCAAGTTGCAGCTCCTCTGCTTCCAGTCCAGCTCCCTGCTTAATGCGCACCCTGGGAGGCACCAGATGATGGCTCAAGTACTTAGGTCCCTGCCACCCATGTGGGAGACCTGGATGGAGTTCCAGGCTCCCGGCTTCAGCCCAGACCAGCCCTGGCTGTTGAAGGCATTTGTGGCTCTTGTGCTCTATGTCTTTCTCTCTCTCATGTGTGTCTGCCTTTCAAGTAAATTGAAAATAAATATTTTTAATTAAAAGGAGCACTTAGGTAATGCCAGTCCTTTCCCAGCAGCAGTGAAGCTTCTGAAGAATTGAACTTGGGAGAAGAGAGAGGACTCTTTCCTGGTCCTAAGTCGTGCAGGTTCCCCACCACCTGGCAGAGCCAACCACCTGTTTAGAGCAGATTTGGGCCTTGCACTTGACTGCCCAATTCACCGCTCTGAGATCAACACATATTCCCCACTGGACACCCAGAGCCTCTTGCCAAACAGCTCAGTACAGGTGGAGTGGGGGAGTCCATAGCAGCCCATCAGGCTGGCTCCCTTCTCTACCTCCCAGCCTCTCCTTTGAAATAATTGTATTCAATGCAAAGGTACAAAAATGGATGAAGCAGTTGTTTTTAAATGCTGATTTCATGCCCCTCCCAAAGGCACTCTTTTGTTCTGTTTAATTTTTACATCAGATTGGCAAGAACAAACTCTAGGGCGGATTCATCAAAGGAAACTGATAATTACTGACACTGTACATTTTATTTTGTTCATTATTTTGTTAACAGCTGATTCTGAAAAATACTCCTTATGAATGGGCTGGAAGCTGGCATAAAAATTATTAGCCATAACAAGATACCTTTGCATAGAAATAGGTTTATTACCCACCAGCTGCAGTGAAGTGTGTGGGACTTGCTTTGTGGCACCAGCAAGGGTCTTCCCACCTGCTTCAGGTAGGCAAGCAGTTTATAACCTAAGGGCTGGGCTACATTTTGCTTTGCACTAGTGTATCTATCTTATCCTGGCTGGGATTCCTGGTAAGTGGAAAATAGTTGATAATCAAGGAAGTAGGAGCCAGAGGTAGGCCCAGGCCAATGCTATAACGTTGCACACAGGCATGGATGTCCTAGGGCTTGGCTAGGGTGATGCCTGGGAGTCCTCATATTTGCTGAGTGTGGCAGCGGTGTGTGCATTGGTTAATTCATTCCAATTTTATGAAGGATCATGTGTGCAGTCCTCAGAGAAGCTCACAGAGACTCAGGTGCAAGTAGTGGGGAGTGGTTACTTTTGGATGCCTCCATCTCTTCCCGTCTTTGGGGAAATTCTCTGGCTCATGGTTCTTCCCCAAGATAGAAGCTGGACTCCCTTTTGTCTGACCACCCTTGCTGCGGAGGTGCAGGCAAGAGGCTGGGGCTCTACCCATCTGACACTCTCACGTGAGACTTTGGGAGACTAGTAGTCCCATGAACTTGCCCGGAGACTCCGTCCTATGAGCTGAGCTGTGGGTTATTCCAAGTAGCCACCAAGCCCCACTTAGGGGAGCAGGTACGTTTGTCCTCAGGGCTATGTTTCTGAAAGCGGATCTGTGATGAGATGTGACCACAGTCCTCAGTCACAGGGCCTTGGTGACTGATCTCCTGGGCCTGTCAGAGGTTCTGTGAGTTACCTGACCTTCTGCTTAAACTGGCTAGAATGACATTTGCAAGCGGGAACCCAAAGGAAACTTGCTAGGTTATGCAACTAAATATTCTGGCAGGGATATCAGAGGCCTCTGGTATGGTCAGCTACAGGGACCAGAACTGCCTGGTGAATTCTCAGGGAGACCTGGGCTGAGTTCCTAGCTCCTGACTTCGGCTCAACCCTGGTTGCTGGTGGGCACTTGGGGAGTGAACCAGCGGATGGCAGATCTCTCTGTGTCTGTCTGTCCCTGGCTCTGCCTCTCAAAGAAACAAAGCAGACAGGAACATTCCAGAAGAGGGTCCCTCCCTCACCTCTCACATCAAAAGGGAGCCACTCTCCTTGTCTCCACAGCGTAGACTGCTGCACCTCCCTTTCTGCTCTGCAGTTTTGAGTGACAGTGGCTTAGCGGTTTCCCAGGTGTCTTTTGTATCAGTCCAGTGATTTTTTTTCCTCCTGGAATAGATGTTAAAAGCAAGTGGACATGGCCAGTACTGTGGCTCGCTTGGCTAATCCTCCGCCTGCGGCGCTGGCACCCCAGGTTCTAGTCTCGGTTGGGGCGCCGGATTCTGTCCCGGTTGCTCCTCTTCCAGTCCAGCTCTCTGCTGTGGCCCGGGAAGTCCAGCTCTCTGCTGTGGCCCGGGTGCTTGGGCCCTGCACCCCATGGGAGACCAGGAGGGAGCACCTGGCTCCTGGCTTCAGATTGGTGCAGCGCACCAGCCGTAGTGGCCATTTGGGGGGTGAACCAATGGAAAAAGGAAAACCCTTCACTCTCTCTCTCTCTCTGTCTTTCTCTCTCTCTCTCTCTCTCTCTCTCTCTCTCTCTCTCTCACTGTCTTAACTCTGCCTGTCCAAAAAAAAAAAAAAAAAAAAAAGCAAGTGGTCACAAAGTGAGCCAGATCCCTGGTCAGTGCCACTGGAAGTGAGGAACAAAGACCCCATCATGGCTTTGCCCTCTGTGTTTGCAGTAGCCGGGTGCCCACAGGGGCGGGGAAGAACAACAAACTGTTAGGAAAGGACTCAGTCCCTATGCCCCCCACTCTGGAGAGCACCAAGCAGAGTCACCCACACAACTGCGCGTCAGCTCCTCCACCTCCTGCAGGGCCTCTGATGAGAGACCACCCTTTGTTTTCCCACCCGGAAATCTCCCCGCATCCCCAGCGTCTGCGGCCTCTCACCACTTCTTGTGCTTTCCTGCTCTGCAACGTAACTCCCCCCCCCCCCCCCCCCCGCTTTAGGAAGTGCCTTCGGAGTTCCCCGAGTGACGCTGTCAGCCATGCAGGCTATGTTTTATTCCATAGAGAACGTATTCTCTCTTTTTTTTTTTTTCAAGTAGGAGCAACTCACAGCCCCTGTGTGTGCTTTTGCTGGGACACCTCCTATACTGCATGCATCGTTGCATTTCATGCTCAGAGCTCCCCTCTGCAGTGGGAGCCTCCTCACCAGGAGCAATGAGCTGCTCCCAGAGGCTTGAGAACTTGCCTGAGTCCTCGGGGCGAGCCAGGATCTAAGCTGGCTCGGGAATTCACACTGGTCATGCTTACATAGGAAGCCTCATTCTGGCTGCCGCCACCTTTCGAAAGTGAGAGAGGGTGGCTGTGAAAGCTGAAGCAGGCTCCTGGGACACTGGCATACGGAGGTGAAAACTGAGAGACAGGCTGAATTCCCGTGGGTCACCTGGGGCCCCTGGTTGGAGTCCAAATCAGGACAGATCTCCCTTGCAATCCACACTGCATGCCTAAGCATGGTGCATCCTATATTTGGGGTGGGGGGAGGGCAGAGGATTCACCCTCCTTGGGACAAGGAGGATTCAGCCAGGTTCTCCCACGTCCACTCTGGTCAAGGTTACAAGCTAGACTTCACTGGGGCTTCCAAGAAAGGACAGGAAAAATGCTGAATCCCAGCTGATCGCTTTCCCACCCAAGTGCTCCGTAGCTCCAGGAAGAAAGCCTGTACAGATTCCCAAACCAGCTGAGATGGTAGGTCAGCTGCACCCACAGACACAATAGCCACACTAGACACGGAACTCAGTCATAGACGTTGACTGCAGTCTTAGATCAAGCTCTCTGAAAGTAGATTCTGAGGTGACAGATTGGTGTGCAGGTGATTAATAAAGGAACTACTGCCAGGGAAGATCTCTCAGCAAAAAGAGGAAGCAGGACAGGGAAGGGAAGAAGACAAGCTAAGGTGATCCCAGGCAGAGTCCCTTGGAGGGCGACTTCTGCCTGATCCCAGGGGACACTCTGAAGCCAGGGCTGCCTGCATGTATTTTCTATCTCCCCATCCACACTCCCTATATGGGTAGACGTGGAAACTCTTAAGCACTACTGGTTGGTCCTCTGTGCCTTTGGACACATTGGGTTCCAGCAGACTAAGGAGAATCCCCTTAGGATTCCGCAGGTACTGGCTCTTGGAGGGGGTCGCAGATATGTTGCAGGTGCTCTAAGATGTGGGCAGAACACATCCCCTGGATTCAGACCCTACCTGCAGCAGCCCTCAGGAAACGATGACATAGGAGGCTCCAGGGTTCTGCTGGGGGTGCTAGTGCATGATCCCTCCAGCCAGTGGGTCAGGAAGCACCG